TCAACAATCAAAAATCAAAAATCCGAAAAATCGAAAAAAATCGAAAAATCGAAAAATCGAAAAATCGAAAAATCGAAAAATCGAAAAATCGAAAATCGAAAAATAAAAATCGAAAATTAAAAATTAAAAATTAAAATTAAAATTAAAAATTAAAAATTAAAAATTAAAAATTAAAATAGAAAAATTAAAAATGAAAAATTAAAATGAAAATTAAAATTAAAATGAAAAATGAAACTGATAACTTATAAAAGATAACAGATACCAGATAGCGATACAGAAACCAGATACTAGACACAGATACCAGACACCAGATACCAGATACCAGACACCAGATACCAGATACCAGATGCCAGACACCAGATACCAGACACCAGACCAGACACCAGACACCAGAAACGAGATACGAGATACCAGATACCAGATACCAGACACCAGATACCAGATACCAAACACCAGATACGAGATACCAGATACCAGATACCAGCCACCAGATACCAGACACCAGATACCAGACACCAGATGCCAGATACCAGATACCAGACACCAGATACCAGATACCAGATACAGACACCAGATACCAGACATCAGATACCAGACACCAGATACCAAACATCAGATACCTGATACCAGATACCAGATACCAGACACCAGATACCAGATACCAGATACCAGATACAGATACCAGATACCAGACACCAGATACCAGATACCAGACACCAGACACCAGAACGAGATACGAGATACCAGATACCAGATACCAGACACCAGACACCAGATACCAGATACCAAACACCAGATACGAGATACCAGATACCAGATACCAGCCACCAGATACCAGACACCAGATGCCAGACACCAGATACCAGACACCAGATACCAGACACCAGATACCAGATACCAGACACCAGACACCAGATACCAGACATCAGATACCAGACACCAGATACCAGATACCAAACATCAGATACCTGATACCAGATACCAGATACGAGATACCAGATACCAGATACCAGACACCAGATACCAGACCAGATACCAGACACCAGAAACCAGATACCAGATAAAGAGATAACAGATACCAAATGCCAGATACCAGACACCAGATACCAGACACCAGAAACCAGATACCAGATACCGATACGAGATACCAGAAACCAGATACCAGAACCAGACACCAGACACCAGATACCAGATACCAGACACCAGACACCAGATACCAGATACCAGACATCAGATACCAGACACCAGAACCAGATACAGATAAGATACCAGATACCAGATACCAGACACACCAGACACCAGATACCAGATACCAACACCAGATACGAGATACCAGATACCAGATACCAGCCACCAGATACCAGACACCAGATACCGACACCCAGAAACCAGATACCAGATAAAGAGATAACAGATACCAAATACCAGATACCAGACACCAGACACCAGATACCAGACACCAGATACCAGACACCAGATACCAGACACCAGATACCAGATACCAGACACCAGATACCAGACATCAGATACCAGACACCAGATACCAACATCAGATACCTGATACCAGATACCAGATACCAGATACGAGATACCAGATACCAGACACCAGATACCAGACACCAGATACCAGACACCAGATACCAGACACCAGAAACCAGATACCAGATAAAGAGATAACAGATACCAAATACCAGATACCAGACACCAGATACCAGATTCCAGATACCAGATCAAGATGCCAAAGGATAAAAATGATTAGAGATAGTTATCGCTAGCATTGCATTAGCATACCAGCAACTGCGCTACGTGAGGTTTTAAATAAACACATCAACGTACAATATTTGGCATAGCGTTAGCATGCCAGAAACTGCGCTAGTCGACTATATTAAGCGGTGATCGTGATGATTGTTTTAAGGAAGAGGTCACGTGACGTTAGAAATTTTGGGCGGGCGACGTCGACGCGGTTTTCCGGTTTTTTAGGAGGTTCGCGAAACGCCCGGAAGGAAAGAGGTACCGTTTCGGAAAGTAGAAACTCGGCGCTTTACGGGCGGGCGAGAGCCGTCGCGGCGAGACGAACGGATCGGATCGAAAACGGCCGGTAAAGTCGAAAAATCGACCGTTTTTCGGACGGTACGCGGCGTTATTTCACACTGGTTTCGCCGTTTATCGAAATATCGACTCGAGATCGGTCTCGTTCGATAGCTAAACGAAAAATACGTGCCTATTAGCTAAATCTGTTCGGTTCCGCGTCTCGGTTTTTTTTCTAGAAATGTTCGAAAAAAAAGCGACAAAAATGACGAATCGCCTTGAAAACTACGATATCTCCCTTATGCCGACGAGAAAAGGAATTTCGCGTGCCGCGTTTCGTACATCTCGGCGAGCGCAACAAATTACGCGGAGAGACGTTTTTCGTTTACGGTACCCGTTTCGAATAAACGAACCTCGAACGTCGTCAAGAATGACTTTTTTGCGTATAAAGCGCGCTGCTTCGCCGTATATCAGCTATCTCCTCCGAAGATAAAGGAGCTACGAACCTGACGATTTTTGCGTGAGAAAGCCCATGCTTCGGACACTCTTTTAATACTATTTTCATCATCATTATTCGTTTACGTTGAAAAGTTTCGATTTTTTAAAAATTCCTCGACAATACGCTACTTTTCGACGCGTGAAAAAGTCACCTTGTCATCCGACTCTGTCCTCGCTTATTACTACCGTACGTGAGCGAGTAAAAATTATACAGCTATCGAAAAATAACGAAAATGAGCTGACGAAACGATTCTGACCGTCAGAATTACCGTCAAATTTCGAAAAAGTAAACTTTGAGCGCCTCAAAAGTACCGATGACAACCGTTTTTCGGCGTACTTTGTCTCGTCGATACGCACCTGCGTACGAGGCGACGTAGCTACGATTTTTTTTCGCAAAACGAAAGGGCCAAAGTCTCCTGATTAAACCGACATACGACACGTTACCCGATCGCATTTTTTAAACTCGGCAGATTAGAAAATCAAAGATATGCAGATATTTTTAGTTTGACGTTTCAATTTTGAATTTCCCCTCCAGATCCCCGGATTCCTGTTAGGCGGGGTATTGTAGACACGATCGTATTACGAAAGCGAGCGCGTGCAAGCGGAACGTCAAAAACGTGCATTTCGGCTTTATGTTGGTCGCTTCATCGAATATAGGATCACGCCGAATACCATTGTCCTTTTTTTACGCGTGAAAATCACATTTTCGAAAAGATTCAAAATTTCTATATTCCATTGTCTAAACGGACCGGACTAGAGCCATTAAAATCGGATGAATCTAGTAGTTTTTTATGTTTACATATTGCGATGTCTAACGCCAAAGGCTGCAATTATTCTTTGACGTTCATCAGTTTATTGAATCATCATCGGTTTATAAATACGATAAAAATATGATTGTAAGCCCCTATTCATGTTATAATTTTACAATATGGCATAAAGCTCCGCTTTTCCAACGATTGATATAAAGCGTATGTCTGATTGCATCACATTGCATCCATTCTAACCTACAATGTATGAATGTAAACATTATCGAAATCTTAACAATGAGGCTCCCGTTAATAAGGATTAATTAGAAGCTTAGAACAAGCAATCGCAGCTACAATAGTGAAAGTGTTGTGTGAAGTGTTTACAGTTTTAATGTGTTTCTATTGCAAACGTAAGTAGTCAGTCACTTCTATGAAGTTCAGTAAGAGTTCAGTCTTGACCCTCAGTTCAATGTATCTAAATATGTAGACCTATTAGCTGGCTAACAGTGGCACATATTATCAAGCAGATGAAGGAATATGCAAAGCGCTGAAAAATAGCATTGATAATCATATCTACTACCAAAGTTTTCAAAATTACTAAGACTTTCACAGCCACTGCAGTTGTTTATTTTGATCTCAATGCAGAATGTATGTACTTCGATTTAGAATGTAGCTGCTTTAAGGACTTGTCACTTCCAAGACTTGTCAAAACAACAGACACCATTACTGTCAAAAAACTATAGCACTTGATGATTTCAAATTTCTATTCTGTTTTTAAAGATGTTATTATTATATGTCTAATTTCAATGATACTCACATCTGTCCTGTTTCTAAGACTGATCTTAATCATAGATTACAAAAAAACTCATTATTGAATCAGAGGAAACAGATTACAAAATTTGATTTCAAGCGATACTATTACTTACTGTCCAACAACTATAGTACTTAATAATTTCAAGCTTCTGGTCTAATTTTTTGAGATGTTATTATTATATGTC